TTTTGTACTTTATTTTTAGTTTCTAGCGACAATACAGAGAAGGAATACAAGTGGTTTATAACAACAACAAAAAAAGGGATGAGGAAGAGTTTGAAGAAGAATTTCTTTCTCACAGAGGGAAGATGTTCTCAAAAGAAATACAAGAAAATCTGACTTTAATTGTGGTTACTTTATGTTGACAGATTCAAGGTATTACGAAGCTTTTCATTCAGCTGATTTTAACCTATCTAAAGCTGCGCTACGGAGCGGTATCATTAGTTTGCCTTTAGTCTTTAAATTTATTGGTATAATCTCTCACCTTCTGAAGTTGCAGACTATAAAAATGTTGATATTCTGTGCGTATAATGACTGTAAGACGAGAGTTAATTACTTTAATGTTTTATGGGACCATGGCAAGGCTATTTTTTGGTCACAGATGGAATTACATTACCGCTAGGTCCACGTGCTCTTTTACATTTCTGACTTCTGTTGCCTGTATACTATCAATTATTATTATTACCATTATTATTATTAGGAGCTTGTGAAGAAAATGATCGCTGGAGAGCTGGCTAACTTAATCAAAATATATGTATCCTGATAAAACTAATGCTCCTCTTTATGATAGTTTTCTACCGTATGGATTTTTGGCAAAAAAAGACTTTAAGGGCATCAGGGAACCGATAGAGACCAGAGTATTTTATTTTTATTTTGCCACCCACCCACCCCCTGTTGATCCCCACCTCGCGGCGGGGTCTTGTGGTTGGAGGACCCCAAAGTCTGCCACTTCGTAAGTAATAATATTTCATACACTCACTGAGCGCAAAGGCCACGTGAGCAGTCAACAGTATATATATATATATATATATATATATATATATTATCGGAGGGAAACAGAGGCAATTAACTGCCTCTTCGATACTCCCCTTTTTCTCCATCTTGTTTGGTTTTTGTACATAATTTCAGGATCCAGCCAGCGGCCCAGAAGATTATTCTGAATATATATATATGTATAGGTATACTAGATGGCTTATATATTGGAATTGAGCCTTCACGGTGAAGCGTTTTTATTTATATTCTTATTTCATGGAATGAGCGGATATAGTGGATGGCATCTGGATATTATCCCTTTTTTTGTGGTGACACCGTTATTTATTTATTTATTTATTGTGATGTTTTACTTTGCGGATGTCTTTTTGCGTCTTAGCGGTTGCCGAATGGGAAACATTTAATGGATGATACCGTGGATTTTTTTTTTTTTTCTTTGTTAATATCATTATTATCACCATCACCATTGTATTTTTCGGCAATTATTATTATTATTACTATCATTATTAATTACATTCATTTATAACTCTACACCGGAACAGCTTTAAGCACATGTTGGAAAGGGTATTATAACCAGTTTAATACAATTTCTGGATATTTTTAACATCTGCAAGCCAAATTAAAAACAATTTATCACGCCATTTCTCGGGAATAAAGATAATATGCGAACATTTTTTCACAGCAACTACGACAGCAAATGCCTGCCGGACGACCTTAGAAATGCTAAAGAAGGAAAAAATTCAATTTTTTTATACCACGCAAAAAATCCATCCGGAGCTAATTAATTTTTACATTCAAAATCATTTCTCAACCAAACCCAAAACAAAACTATAGAAAATGACAACTTCGAAAATCAAGAAAGTAATTAACTATAGAGAAAAATTATATGGTCCTGCCTTAATTAGAAACTAATAAACGGTATTGCTGATTTTCATAGTATTTTTCTTCTTTTCTTTTTTTTTTTTTTTTTTTTTTTTTCTTTTCTTTTTTGCCTTGTCGGGTGGTTTCTGCTTTAAGCCGTGTGGTGTCTCTCTTTGTGTTTGGCGATGGAGTTTTTTACATGATTTGTCGAGGATAGAGGAGAAGCACATTCATCCCCCCCTGTGTGTGTGTGTGTGTTTGTGCTGCTCCCAGACCTTTTTTTTTTCTCCACTTGCGCTCACTCCCATCCGTGTGTGGATGCTTGGGATATGCGACGCGATAGGGCGGGCTCCGCTTGGCGAGGCTCTTTCTCGCTCGTCAAGGACAGAAAAATTGCCGCAAAGCTGAATATTTGTTTGGTGCACAAGGAAACCGCCACCAAAGTGTTTTTGTTTTTAATTATTGAGTGTTGTTCGGCGCAAGTGCCGAGTGTAGCAGGGAAAGGCAACTAATTAAGTGCTGACTGAGAGTGTTTGGGGTGTATGCACGCCGGAGAGAGACTGAGAGGGTCGCATCTGACCAGCCGGGTTCCTCGTTGTCTTTATTGGTTGTGTTGTGTGTATGTGTGC